TTAATCTTTTGTGTTCTACTTTATCAAAAGCCTTTGCGAAGTCAAGATATATGACGCATAACGGTTTACCTTTTGCAGTTTCAAATGAAATTGTGTCAATTGTCTCAATAAGATTTGTTGTGCATGACTTGTTTGGAACAAAACCAGTTTGCTCCTCACATATAAGTCTATTTGAAACTAAATGTTGTAGAATTGTGTCCCGAATGAGCTTTTCGAACATTTTACAAAGTTACAAAAAAAAACAAAAAAACAGATGTTAGGGATACTGGTCTGTAGTTTTCTGGTTCAAGTTTTGATCCTCCTTTGTAAATTGGTGATATATTTGCAACAGACCAGTGGTAAGGGACACATCCAGTGTCAAAGCTTAATTTGAAAATATGAACAATTGAGTCCACAAAAGCATGCTTTTGTTCTGCACCATGCTTTAAAACAAACGGACTAACTCCATCAAAACCCATCGCTTTTGCCTCATCCATACCCTCTAACATTCTGAGAATTTTTTCATAGGTAATCATATTAGATAACTTACTGGAATCGCACTGGTTTTTGCATCTTTGCAAGAATTCGGGTATTGGTTGGTCATTATCATTAACATAGACTGACTGAAATTGCTTATTTAATATATCTGAAATGTCTGATATCTCAGTTGTCACTTGGTCTTTTTGTTCTTGATTGCTCTTATTTGCGTTTTAATGTTTTGTTTTCTTTGGCATATGCCAAAGCAAGTGTGGACAGCTCAGATAATTTATTAGAGTTACAGGAGGTAGCATTAGTATAATAAAATTTAATTGGTTTATAGTTAAAACTAGTATTTTGCTTTAAATAAATAGAAAGTTTTACATTACTCGAGTTTTGGTAAGATTAATAAGATTGGCTGATATGAGCCCCTCCGGGCCTGCTTGGCAACGCTCTCTTTGACAAATGGGTGAACTTTGCGTTTGCCAATGTCTTTTGTTGTAGTGACGTCGATGCACAGTAATTTTCCGCTTCTAATGACAAATCGAAAGGGCTGGTCTAGGTTATTATTACGTTGCAAGTCCTCGTTTGCCTCCTTTCTCTCTTTATTTAATTTTGCAAATTCAGCCTGCTCATCAGGAGTGCGGTCGGGCCGTATATATACTTTTTTGTAGGCCTCAATAGTTGACAGTTCCCTTGCGGCAGCCAGCATCTCGTTTCGTGCTACTTCATTCTCAATTTCGACAACTAACGGTTCAGATGCATTGTTTACCAACGGAACTTTATATTTTAATCTGAATGTTGATTTTATTATTATTCGTCTGTTCAGCGAACGTATTTATTCGTTGACCATGTTCTCGTCATCTGTCTTGCGATCCTTGATTATAGTTTTTTGTGAGTTAGGCAAATCAACAATTACAACATTTTCAGACTTTTTACTGGATAATATTTCATGACTTTTTGACACTTTGATGCTAGCATTGTACAGCTCAGAACCTGGTTTGGCTAGTTGCTTAGCAATTTGGCTGTAACAAACAGCAGGTGAACTAAAAGATGGTAAATTTGCATTGTTTTCTTGTAGTCTTTTTACTTTCTCACTAAGTTCAGCTATTTCTGCATCTTTTTCCTTTAATTTCACTTCAAATAGTTTAGCTCGCTGATTTAGTTACACTTTAAAGTCATCCTTTAGCTCTTCAAATGCTTTGTTAATCATCAAAGCTATACAATTCTTTTGTTGGTCAGTGAGTTTAGTCATATCTCAATCCTCGATTTCCGCCAATGAAATGAAAGAGAAACAACCACTACAAACAACAGTGGATTACTTCTTTGATGTTGAGTTGATCTTTATAGGAGGGCTACCACTCTGAATACCAGTGGATTACCTCCCGTTCAGAATTATTAGAATATTTTATATTTTATTACACAGGGACTTATTAACACAAATAGAACTGTTTGTTTATTGTGTTTTTTCCGTGTATATATATATATATATATATATATATATATATATATATATATATATATATATATATATATATATATATTATATATTTGAACATATTTGCATTATAATATATATATATATATATATATATATATATATATATATATATATATATATATATATATATATATATATATATATATATATATATAATATATATTTAAACATATTTGCATTATAATATATATATATATATATATATATATATATATTATATATATATATATATATATATATATATATATATATATATATATATATATATATATATATATTATATATTTGAACATATTTGCTTTATAATATATATATATATATATATATATATATATATATATATATATATATATATATATATATATATATATATATATATATATATATATATATATATATATATAAAGAGTTTTGTTAAAATATGTGTTATATTATTTTCGCAATAGTTACCTGAGTAATGTAAAGATTTTTTACTAGATTTGACTATTAAAGTAATTGAAGAAGGTTTATTATATTTTGTTTCTTGGAAGTAGTTTAAAAAGTAAATATTCTGTTGCAAACATTAAACAATTAAAATATTAAATAAAAAAAAAATGAATTATTATAATTCTATTTAAAATATTGTTTATTTAAAAAAAAATAATAATAATAATAGCAATAATTAAGCTTCTAATTAGACTTTCAGAAATATAATTCTACTTATTAGCCAAAATTTTTTTCCCTCTTTTTTTTTATAGACATTTCTCTAATTCGATTGCGCAACTAATATCTCAGCTTGAAAATGAGGCCAGTAAGGACAAAAATATAAACTGATAAAAACTCAAATTCAAAATGATTAAATTTAAATAATAATTTCTCTCTTTTAAACAAGTCTTTCTCCAACAAGGAAATGAAAAATGATTGAAGAAGAATGTATTGTTTTATAACACTATGTGGAAGTTTGTTTTACAATTGCAATACGGAGAAAAATAAAGTTGATGCTTACAAAATTCGATGTTTACAATGCTTGGAAAAACGAATTATTGACATTCAACACACTGCAAAAGAAATTACCTAGAAAATCTCCATGAAAAAAGTCAAAATATCTAGATTTTACAGCTAATATTTATAAAAAAACTCATACAATAATCGATTCTACGGAAAAAGTTGATTATAAAAAATGTAAACTTTTGTTATCCAAAAAAACACTTATTGAAAAAAGTTGGAAATATTTCATTAAAGTTACAGAAGCTTGCTTGAAGAATATAAAAGTTCAAAAACATGAAAAAAAAACAACTCAAATGTAATATTTTTAACTACGAAAATGTTGAAAGTTAAATATTTTAAATATTTCAACTCATTTACTGGCATGAAAAAATGAAAAGTTTTATTTGAATGTTTAAATCTTGAAAAAGAATGTGAAAACATGGAAAATAATTTTCTGAGAAAAGGCTACCTAAAGAATTGTTTTTATCTCCTTTATATTTCACACCAGAATCCATTCGCGGTCAAAAATGAAACTGATTGACCAACTATTTATGTTTTTAACATAGCTTAGACTTGAAGTTTTACTTGAAGAAGTTTCACTTGCTTACTTATCTGGTTATTTAAAGCACCAATCTGTTTAGAAATACCTTATATACACAGCCAAGTTTTATACACCTTAAACTTTGTGCAAAACAAACTTGGCCAAATTTAAATCACTTAAACATAATATACCTAAATGTTTTAAAGAGACATATCCTCAAGTGAAAGTTATTAATTGTATCAAATTGTTTTGTCAAAGACCTTCCAACGTACAGTTTACTGCATTACCTATAAAGTATTAGTTGGAATTGCTCTTTCTGGTGCATTATCATTTATTAGTAAACTAATTTTTTTGGCTCTGATATTTGTTTTTCATAGTTAAGCATTTGCCTTTGCAAAAAAAAGCTATGGGAGAGTGATGATTCTGTAACGGCTGATAGGGTTTTTAATTTAATGATCTGCGTAAACCTTAAGATGTAACACTAAACATTTTTGCTAAATCTTTTAAATTTTCTTTTAAAGTTTGCATTTCTCTTAGTGTAAGCAAAATTCATTTATTTTAGTGTAAGAACAATTATTTTAACTTAATATACTTTTAAATCGATTTTAAAATGACTAAAAGACCACTGGCTTGGTGCAAGTCCAGATGGACTTGCTAACAAGTTCATCCGGAGTTGCTAGTGGTTGCATAGTTGAGCTAACAATTCAGTTTCAAAAAATTTTAATTATATATTATTTGAGTTTTTTAAATATTTTTTTTCATTTAACGTTTGTCCATATAACTATTAATTGTGAACTTGTGTCTTGTGAACACAGGGAGAAACGCAATAGGTTTTACATATTTTGTAAATAGATTGTACATATCTTCTTTTAAAAATACACATTTTTTTAAATTTAAATTTTTTCTATTTTAAGATTTCTGTTTATATATTGCAATATTAGATACTAAATTATTTTATTTTTGAGGCAGTCGCTATTAAATCCATACATTATTTATTAGATTATTAACTTATTTAAAAATATTACTCAAGTAGTTTTTCGCTATTTGTTTACATTTTTGTCCTTACTGGCCTCCTTTTTATGATGAGAAAATGGTTGCGCAATCGAATTAGAGAAATGTCTATTGCAAAGCAACTTGAATTGAAAAATTTATAAAAACATCAATTTAAAAACATCAACATAAAAACATCAACATAAAAACATCAACATAAAAACATCAACATAAAAACATCAACATAAAAACATCAACATAAAAACATCAACATAAAAACATCAACATAAAAACATCAACATAAAAACATCAACATAAAAACATCAACATAAAAACATCAACATAAAAGCATCAACATAATAACATCAACATAAAAACATCAACATCAAAACATCAATATAAAAACATCAATATAAAAACATCAATATAAAAACATCAACTTAAAAACCATTTGAATCAAAAAAGTGTGTTAGAGTATTTTTATAGTATTCTTAGCAAATGTATGTTTTTGAAAAACTAATATGATATTTTAATAAATTTTTATAGAGTTTAATGGTCAAATTTGTCCTAATGGGTGGATTAAATATGGAATCTATTGTTATCTATTTCAAAATGGAAATGCCGCTCTAAATGGAAAAAATTGGATAAACTCCCTTTCACATTGTTTAAATAATGGAGGAAATTTGTTGAGTGTAGCAAATCAAACAGAAAATTTATTTATTTTAAACTACCTCAAAAATAACAGCATAAATAGCTTTTTCTGGATTGGTTTGTTAATTTTTTTTAATAATTTAACCTAAAAAAACTTAAGTTTAACAATTTTTTGTAAATAAGTTTTATTACTTTCAAAGGTCTCAATACTCTTCAGAGATCTTTTGTTTGGTCTGATAATACAGCTCCGTTATTTTTTAATTGGAGGCCGGGTCAACCTGATAATTATTTAGTGAAAGAGCACTGCGTTGAAATAAATTCTTATGGCTGGAATGATGCTGATTGTGATAATCTTTATGGATTTGTTTGTAAAGTTAAAAAAGGTAAATTTTATTTATTAATTTAAAATTTATTATTTGGCAAAACTTATTTTCACTCAACATTTGCATTTCATGATATTAAAATATTTTAGAGTATTTTCTATGGGTAGTTAGTGCAAAGTGATATTGTTACCATGTTTATTAGAATTGGATATTAGATTCTTTTATTTCAGTTATTTGTTTTTTTCAAATGTTGAATACTTTTAATTAGGTCAGAAAAAAGGGTAAAAATAAAGATAGTGATTTTTCAATTTTCATTAAAAAACCATGATTCTGTATAAATCATAATTTTTTTAAATTTCATGATAAAGGTGCGCAAAAAACTGCAATAAATTTGTTGAGGCCTACGATATTGCAGAATTATTTAAGTATATAGATTTGGGTATATAATACTCATGGCAGAATATTATATCCCTAATTATATCTTATATAGCGTTTTATTTAAATGAATTTTACTTGAGTTGAATTTCTTTTAAACACAGATTTCTTAAAACACAGTTATAAATTAGAAAAGTTCATTTACTTTCTCTTTCATTAAGATTTCTATTCTTTTTTTTTAATAAAAGTTTTTTCAAATATATATATATATATATATATATATATATATATATATATATATATATATATATATATATATATATATATATATATATATATATATATATATATATATATATATATATATATATATATATATATATATATATATATATATATATATATCTATATATATATATATATATATATATATATATATATATATATATATATGTATACATATATATTTATATATGTTTATATATATATATATATATATATATATATATATATATATAATATATATATATATATATATATATCTAGGGGAGAGTGTGTATGAAAGAGCCAGTTTTAAAAAGGAATAAAAAAAAAGTTAATTGGGGTTAATTTTGTTTTTTTTTTTTTTAAATAGTTACTTTATTGGGTAATATTATAGAATTAAAATAAATTGGATAAAAATGCTAAAAACCTGTCATAAACCTATTTTAAAAAAAGATAGAAAACGGCCCTTTCATAACATTGTGTCAATGAAAGAGCCACCACTGTGCCTTGAATAAGCCGTAACTTTTTTTTGAACACTATCAAGTCTTTTTTAAATATTGAACTGTTAAATAGACTTCTAAAAATCAGGTTGTACTTAAAGTTTTATAGCTCTATGATAATCAATGATAAAACAAATAATCAAACAGCTTTAATAATAGTTTTCCAAATTATTCAAAATCAAAAACTACAAAATCAAAAACTACAAAAACATCAGAAACTTTTTTGGCAGAAGAAGTTAATCACATCTTTGAAGCCACAAGATTCATGTGCCCATCCTCCATATACCTTGCACTGGTACCATTCTTCGTTGGTCTTACCATATTGTCTTTTACATGTAATACAATTATTTTTATCATCCCCTTCACTAACATTCTAGAATCAATGGAATCATACTTTTTTTTTCTATATTTTTTTGTTTTAAACTTCTTAATAACACTTTTTTTAAGATGTTTTTTTGTTTCTTTCCCTTCAATTTTTTTTTTCTCAGGAGTGTCTGTGATTATAGCAGAGGCTATTTTACGATCATTAGATTTTAAATTCTTTTTAGGTCCTGATTTTAAATGAGGCCTTACAATTTTAGGACTAACAACTTGTTGCTGTGATATTGATAGTTGTATTAAAGATTCTGACAATGTTATTATTTTAGGCAAACTATCTGTTTTTTTGGGTTTAACATTTGAGTTTCGAGGAACATCTGTATGGACATCAAAATCAAGTGTGTAAGTATCAATATGGGCAGTGCTGAGTTGTGTTGAGGATATCAAGTTTTGTGGAGTAGCATCATCTAAAAGAACTGGCTCAGGTCTATCAGTTACGAAAGATGTAAGGAAATCATCGTCAGAAAAGTTGTTGGAATTTAAAGGGTAAATGCCAGTCTTGATAAATCCATTTGTAATATTTTTCATGCTGAAAGCGGCTAAAAAAGCATCTTTAACTAACTGCGCAACCTGATAAATGCTTACTGATTTTCCAGGATTTGATAGCATCCAATCATTCATAGCTATTCTGTATCTTGTTTTAAATGGGCCTTAAACTGTAACATCTAAAGGCTGTAACCTATGGCTGCAATGTGGTGGAAAAGTTAGAATTTTTACAAAATGTTGTCTAGCAAATTCTATCACACGAAGATTAACATGGGAGATATGATTATCTAATATTAATAAAGCAGGATTATTTTCACTTGGTTTTACATGGCTTACAAAATGTTCCATTGCTTTAACGATATTACTTTCAGTCATCCATCCTGAAACATGTGATAAACCCAATGCTCCAGAAGGCCCATTATTCAACATGTGATCCTTATAACTTACTCGAGGAAAAATAAACACAGGAGGTATAGTACCACCTCCAGCATTAACAAAAAAAAGAGTAGTCACAAGTGTGCCTCGTTCTGCTGATGTAACCTGCCCTACTTGTTTTGATCCCTTTGCAGCTATAATCTTTGTAGGAGCTGAAACAGTACTGCATCCTGTTTCATCCGTATTAAAAATCATGTGTGATGGAAATCTATACTTTTTTGTAAATGCTGGTTAGCTTTTCAAAGAACGTGTTAACATTTGTTTTGTTGAAACTTGTTGCTCTGGACAAAGATGTGCTTTCAGGTTTCCTGACTGACAAATCTTTGTGCCTCATCATAAAGCCACGAAGCCATTCCACAGATGCTATTTTATTACCCTTCCATCTTTCAGGACAAATATTATTCACCTCTGCATACTGAAAAGCTAGTTCCCTTGTTTGTTTTTTTGTCAAACCGTGACACATTTTAGATGCAGTTTTAAGATACGAAACTAATAAATCCTCTTGATGTTTAGAAAAAATGCGCCTGTTACCAATATTTGGGCAATGAACATACTGATCCTCAGTATTGTCAACCTTTTTAATCACTTTTGCTAAATAGGCTCTCGATATTCCAAACACCAACGCTGTTTTATTGATGGACTGGTTGCCAGCATTCACTTCCCTTACAGCCATTTCTATTGCTGAAGTTGCGGACCTTTGTCGCTTATTAGTAGTTGATGACATGTTTTTCTCTTAATGATAAAAAATATGAAATGAGAATGAGAATAAGGAAATAACATAATAAATATACATAATAATATAATAAATACATAATAGTAAAATAAAATGATTCAAACAATACAAAAAAAGTTTAAAAAAATTATTTATACTTTAAAAATAAAATATGACTTTTTCAGAACTTTGACTTAAAATTTTTATTAAATATTATTTTAAATTCTAACGGAGCTATGTTTTACAACTTCAGGAAAAGTCATTAAAACAACTTATTTAGATAGAATAAGCTCATTGAAGCGTTACGAAAAATATATGAAGTCGTTAAAGCGCGAAACAATTAATTAGTTTTAAAAAAAACTAAATAGAAAAAACCGGCTCATTCATAGCATAGTCGGCTCTTTCAACAAATTGTATTTTAATAAAAATAAACTCAAATTAAACATTTTTTACCGAAACTTTAATCTAATATTTTTTGTGTAAATGAAGGGCAAATATATATATAACAACGAGGCATATATCTTTTATCAAATAATAAAATACACTTTATCTTAAAAACAAATAAGTAAACCCCCAAAAAATTACTTTTTGTGTTCAAAATATTTAGTGCAGCCTAACGGCGCTATTTATTTTAGTAGAACTATACATTTTTTGTGGGTGACTTGTATCCAGTGTTGACATACAATGAGTAAAAAATAATTATGGTTGGGTGCCAGAAAGTTAGAAATAACGGCATCGGCTCTTTCAAAACCTGGCTCTTACATACACACTCCCCCCCACTATAGCATATTTATATGCGCAATTGCTCACTTTTTTTGCTAGCCTAAATTAAGTGAGAATTTTTAGAAAACGATAAGGGAAAACGAAGAATAATGAATGAAAAAGTTGCTGACCCATACCAAATCCTCGTTCGATGTAGCAGCACTCCACGGCGAGTCAGGCTATTTGTAAGTCGATGTATGTACTGAAGCCCCCGGCAGCAGGCTATTTGACATTAGGTGAGTATGACATCATCATGCTCACCTAACTCAGCAGTATAAGATATATATATATATATATATATATATATATATATATATATATATATATATATATATATATATATATATATATATATATATATATATATACATATATATATATATATATATATATAGGTCTCATTTTAAACCATTACACGTAGAGTAAAATTATGAGTAAAGCAGTAATAAATTATTTTTTATTTATCGGTTTAGCAACTTTTAATCATTTTGTAACTTTTCAATTTTTTTTGTTTTTGCTTTGTTTGGTATTTAGGTTCCTCAAAAAATCCTAACGGTCTTGTCACAGAGCACCACGGAAGTCATTGAACTAGGATGTTCACACCTCCTTTCTTACCGTGACGTAAAATATTCTATAAGTAGTAACATTTTTCTAAAAATTTTACCACTTATTGAAATAGAAATATTACCGGTTATATAATTTATTATTCTATAAGTGGTAAGATTTTTCTAAAAAATCTTATTACTTATATATATAGAATTCTTACCAGCTATATAATATATTATTCTATAAGTGATAAGATAAAAGATGTAATTTATTCAAAAAAGTCAAGTTGAATGACGTTTATGTGAAAATATTTGTGACCAAAGTTTGAACGACAATTATGTTTGATGTAAGTGCTATTTGCTAATGAAAAAAACTCAAGTAAATTTAAAAGTTAATTTTTATTTTGTTTTTATTTTGTTGTAATTATTGATTTTTTAGGTTTGAGGCAAATACCATAAAAACATAATTAAATTCTGATAAAAAAAAAATGATATAGTTTAATAAAAATTTATAATTGCAATAAGATAAAAAAAAAAATTTAATTTAAATTTCAAAATTATGTAATTTATTTTGACTTAAAAAATATATTTAAGTTTATTAAAAATAAAGTTAATGCTTGTGTTGAACTGTCAAATTTATTTAAAAATATTACCAAATATTATTCACTATTGAAATTTTATTTATTCTTAAAAAAAATATAAGCTCATTTTTATTGCAATTGTTTTTTCGGTCTTTCTGCCAAATCATTTCCTTTTTTTTTTTACTCATATTGAAATTTTTAGTAAACGGCTGCAATGAAAATTTGCACAAAACGTAAGTTAAATTAATTTTCATATCACAAGTTAACTCGCATCGATTATTTTTTGATGAATGAGATGTACAGCGATATAATTTTAATAATAAAATGATAAACTAATAAACTTTTAATGAATAAAGTAAATAAATTAACGCAATTTTTTTATTCGTTACTCATTCATTTTTTCAAATGAAAAATTATTTGCAGTTGCAAAGCCACAACTAGAAATTTAGGAAATAACCATTTGTAAATTTGATAATTTAACATATTTTAATTCATTTATGCAAATGTCAAGAAAAGAATGAATTTTGCTTTTATTAAACATTTTTTAAAATGCAATATAAAATTAGTAATTTAATATTTAAAAAAGTTAAATAAAATAAACATTCCCTTAATATTAAAAAAAAAAAATTAATTCCCTTAATATTAAAAAAGAAATATTAAATCCCTTAATACTAAAAAAGAAATATTAATTCCCTTAGTATTAAAAAAGTAATATTAAAAAAGATGCTAAATAGCATTAAACTCATTTTGCGGTAATTAATAATATAGCAGTAATTTAAAAAAGTTATTCATAAATTATTTACACAATAGACCCATAGACTCATAAAATATGTGTCTTAGTAAATCTATTACACATCGACTACTTCTATGCTTATTTGCTTCAATATTTTTGAGTAAACTGTATTAAAATAAATCATTTCAAAACTGCTCTTAAAACAAAAAATAATTAGATTGCGCACTTTTTGCATACTTAAGGTTTATTAGAAACCTGAGTATATTTATTTCAGAAAAAAATATGAGCTCTGCCTACTTCAAAAACAAAAAAAAGTCTCTTTATTGCGTTAATTGTACAGATTTATGTAAATAATTACGTAAACTCATAATATCAAACACAGATGAAAAATAAATAACGTTTTTACCCGTGTGTTTTAATAATATTTATAACAAAAATAAAAGTTCAATCCTCTTATTAAGTCGATATGTATTTACAAAACAAAAGATGACCGGTAAATAAGGCCACGGATAGCTTGATCCACCATCTTGATTTATATAAACTTGATCCACCGGGAGCATTAATCTATGTCTGATTAAAAATTAAATACGGTTTTAGTTATAAAACCCTCTACAGTAGGGTACATCGCTAAAATCATTTTGATTAAAATAATACGGCGTACTGATATTCCTTTTTAAAATTAAATTCTAAATTAAGTTTCTTTTTTGTGTTTTTTAATTTGAAAATGTTTTGGTAGGGCAATTGAGACTTTTAGTTGTGAATTTTATAGTTTATTGTAAATAATTACTTGTTTTTTGAGAATGTGTTGAAGCAACTGTATAATTCTTAAGGTGAGTAATACTTACCTTAAAAAATTAATATTAGTTATTAAAATATCATAAAGTTTGTTTTTAAAATGCGTATTATGCAGACTCAACGATTATGCAAATTAAACATGTGTTAAAATAAATTATGGGATAAAATTATTAGGTTATTATTTTGACCTTGTAGTCTATGTTTTATCTTTTTCGGGGCTTAATAATAAGACTAATTTTGTCTTCTTCTAGCCCCAGTCATGTACATTTTTCTTTTATAAAGTATGATTGTAAATTTTTGTTTTTGGCAAATACATAGATACATCATTATCTTAAATATATGTATATATATTATATTTTGTTTGAAAAGGTAAAAAGTTTGTTTTGTCGGAGGTACCCACAAAAAGATCAGTAATTCAAATGGATGTTCTTCTAAAGGTTAGCTTTTATTTTATTTTTTAACTTCTAAAACATTTTTAAAAGTTATTATATCAAAAATATAAATTGACTTTATATAAATTATTTGTGATAAATAACTAAATCTACATATACCTTTTAGGAAAAAAAAAGAAATAGAATTTGAATGTAGAAAGCATAATTTTGCTACAAAAGAACAAAACAGAGAGTTTGCTAAACTGGTAACAGCTCAATGGTTCAAAGCAAATAGCCTGTTTAAACCACCAGTTACAATTTCGGAAAAATCACTCGCGGAAAAAATAGGCAGACTAAGATTTAAAATATCCAAGTTTTTAAAAAACGCAAAACCATCTAAAGAAGCAACCAACAAAATAACTAATGACCTTGATAGTCTCTTTGATATCACATCATGTACTCATACAATCGTTATATGCACAGAGGCAGCATCATTTTGCAATGATCCCGAAAACTGCAAATTAGGTGCACATATTTATGGTTCATGCCCTCTATTACAAAAAGTTACTGTACTTGATCTTCTTTGGCATCGTATTCAGAGGCTTAAAAAGAAAGAGATTTCTACTATGCAAATTGGCTAATGTGATTATAAAGAATCGGTTCGATTCTTTATAATCACATAAGCCAATTTGCATAGTAGTAAAAAAAAAGAAAAAACATTCATAAGCCAATTTGCATAGTAGTAAAAAAAAAGGAAAAACATTTAGGAAGAAGCTGAAAGAAAAAGGGAAAAAAAAAGAAAATGAAAGAAAATATGAGTTTGATAAATTTGAGGTTAGCTAAATTACCATAAATATAATTCTTTAATTGTTTTAAAACATTTCTTACCGCAATCTATGAAAAACTTTAAAACTAACTTTTTAATGTTTAATATATATTAAACTTTTTTAAATTTAAAATTTATATATTCTATTATATATAATATTACTTACCAATATTGGTAAGTAATAATATTATATTATAGAAACTGCATGTTTAAACAATTTAGAATCCTGAACTAGTTTTCAATCTGCTGGGAGAAAACAACAATGGTATTAATGATACTGATGATACATACAATGTAAATACTGCACAACTAAAAAACGAAATAAAAACTTTGGTCGACAAGTTGCTTGAAGAAAAACTAGGAAGATTGGCATCACTGGTTACAAGATACTTAAAAAAACCAAGTCTAATGCGGCATCAGCTGCTATAAGATATAATATTTCTAATGTTGGAGCGGCAGCAATAATCACTGGTATAATAAAAGATTTTAAAGCTGCAGGTTATCTTTCTCCTGATATGTCATACCCTTCTGTTGACCCTAATAAAATGCGAAGGGCTAAGAATAATGTAATGAAAGAAAACACAATTATTGAAGCGAATAAATGTAGCAACAAAAATATAATTGGAATAGCTTATGATGGAAGAAAAGACTGGATTAAAACGCTAATTCCAGATAAACACGGAAAACCTCACCCTAGAGATATAAAAGAGAAGCATATAAGTGTAACTTGGGAGCCAACTGGACGTTGTCTTGCTCACATCACGCCAGAACGTGCCCTTCATCCGGAAAAACCTGAAAAAAAGATAACTAAAGCACTCTATGAGGTGCTTGAAAAAAACAATGCTTACTGAAAATACTGAGTCATGTATAGTAATACGTGGAGATTCAACTAATATCAACACAGGATGGTCAGGGGGAATTTATGCCCATCTCGAAAAAATGTTAGGACATAAATGCTATTGGGCAATTTGCATGAAACATACAAATGAACTCAAGCTACGACATTTACTTATATTCCTTGATGGTCCGACAAGTAGCAAGGACGGATTTACAGGATATGTTTACAAAAATCTTAAGTATGTAAATGACATACCAACAAATTATAATTTTACACCCCTGCCAGATGGAGAGGATATGCCTTTCTCATCAAGTTTCCAAAACTTGATGAGAAAGGCATAAAAAACTTATCTACTGATGCTTATATCAGTTACAGATATGTAAATGCTACCAAGTCAGGAAAACTTTCACTGGATCTCGCAAATCTAAAATGTGGATCACTGTCTCATTCTCGCTCGCTAACTTTAGGTATGGGTTTGATGTTTTTGTGGACAAGAAATCATAACCTTAAATACAGTGAGCTCGAGATCTTTAAGATATTAGTTCATTTTTTTGTCAAAATGTATTTCAAACTTTATTTTGAAATTTTTTCCAAACATCTGCTGGAGGACGGACCAAGACACATCTTGCTTAAATTTAAAACTCTTAAGACACTCCCAGTCAATATGGCGAATATTATTACAACTTATATAAGAACTGGGGCTTGGCACAAGCATAGTGAGTGTATTCTGGTTTCACTCTTGACTAACTCTGATAAAAATGAAAGAAAGTTTGGTGTTGATAAGGTTTTAAAAATTAAAGGAAATAATGAACTTGGAGACACTGCTGTTCGAAAAAGAATATCTCCGAAAATTAACCTTGACGCTACTATTCTTTAAAAATTAATTTCTTAGAATGTAAAAGATTGTTATGAACCAATATTTACATGTAATCTTTCTAAAGTGGAGATCTCCAAATTCATTGAAAATTCATTGAAAATTCCTAAATTTAGCATTCACACTCAAGTTAAAGATTGCTGCGTCAAAAGTGTGACGGATGCAACTGCCATTGTTTACGGCCAAGTAAGAAGAAATGGATTTGTTAGAACAAGAATGATACACAGGGGATTCCCACCCTTAAATTAAAGAAAGATGGTCTTAAAATAATTTAACTAAGAAATAAAAGAAAATTCTATATTTTGTATTTTTTTCATTTTTTATTCAAAACTTAAACCTGTAAAACTTGAAAACCGCTTTCAAATGAGAAGTAATTTAATAAAATATTTAACAAAAAATAGTTTTAAAAATAGTTTTAAACCTTTTAGCAAATTAAAAAACATGAGGTTGAGTAATCTTTAGATTAAAAACTCTTTCCCCTACATTAGGGACGATGGCATAAATTCATTTGTTCAGAGGTAGGCCAGGGGGTTTGGGAGGGGGAGAGTGTTCCTAGGCTCTTATCATTAAGAAAGTTTAATCAGTTTCTGACAAAACAACGCTATTTGACTTAAGTATAAATATAAAATAGTTTAGAGTTTACACTTTTCTACAAAATTTTAAAATGTTATAAATGATGATATATTGCATATCTAAAAGTGTCAATTGTACTACCAAAACCTTTTCAAATTAAAAAACACTAAAAGGAAACTCAAATTAAAGATTAATTTTCCATAAGAATATGAGTACGCGCTTCAAAAAATAGTAATTTTTATAAATTATGGTACCAAGCGATGTACCCTACTCTACAGTATTGTCATTTTTTTTCTTTTTGTAATTGCTTCTGCATGCAACTACACAGCACTTTTTAGACGTTTTAAAAGGCAAATAAATAATTCAAAAACATAAAATTAAAGCTTATTTTTATATGACTATAATTGTAATTCTTTTAAGAACCACTTTAAGCATATAAAGGACGAAAAACTGGCCTAAAAAGTATTGGAATAGTAAACAACATTTACGGCCGTAAATTTAAAAAGGCTAAAGTCATCTTTAACTTCACATTTATAATCTTTTTGATTTTCTTTATCACCTTCTCTTATTATCTTCTTTTGCTTGGTAATAGGATTTCCATTTACCTCCATTTAAACGTGCAGACTTCAAACAGGAGGCTATATATTCATAGTTTTCTTGTCTGTGGTTTTTGCATAATTGCGCTTAATTGATTGTAGAGAATAAGTGCAAAAATATTCAAATTTAGTCATGCAATTAAAACTCTAAAAAAAGGAGGAAAGAAAATTTTTAACTAATATTATTTCATATGAATACATGAAGTTTATGAAGTCTTCATGAACTGATTTAATTTAATTTTGATCAGTTATGAAATTATAAACAAACAAAAACTTCAGTTAATTGTTATCTATAAATTTAAAATGTATTTTAGATAACTTATAATAAGAGTTATTAATAAGATCTATTTTTTTTTATTTTTTATTAATTTACCTCCTCAAGGCCAAGAAGGCCACCAAAGACGAGGAAGCTTCTTATTTGTGGTTATAACCTTCTCTCAACTCTATAACTCCGAAACACGAACCATGACGAAGGAGGCCGCTGCGCGGAGAAACGAGTTTCGACTATATTTACAAACGTCAAATAATATTATGTCTCTCTCTCTCTTTATATATATATATGTATATATATATATATATATATATATGTATATATATATATATATATATATATATATATATATATATAAACGAATAATGTTAAATGCTTTCTACAAAATAAAGTGCCTAATGTTTTTAAGGCATGAGAGCAATAATAAGTTTGTAAAAAACTTATAAAACCTTTTTTACTTTACGCTGTGATTCATCTTTTAAGATATATCAGAAACAAATGTTTAAGCTAACGCAACTTTAGTTTATACTAAAAATTAAATAACAGTAAGTCATTAATGTCTTATTGTAAAATTTTGCACATTTGTGGAATATGCTTACACAAACATAAATTCATTAAAATTGTTTATTTCTGTTTTTTTTTTAAGTAATATATAAAGAGGGATTTAATATAATTGTTTTTTGAGCTTACTTATTTTTTCAATACTTTAGGAAAAACTTTTTTTCATGCCTCCAATTAAAAAGCTATTCTAATTTTTTGTTAAATTAACACACTTGGTTCGCATTTTGTTAAATTAACACACTTGGTTCGCATGTGTAGTTATTTCAAATTTATATTGGTAGGCATAATATGCATTTTGGCATAGAATTATTATTATATCCAAGAACTGTTTACTATTCACAACAGAAAACTATGAAAAAATTTTATGCGACAATACTACTAAAACTTTTAAGAAAGCTTCTAAAAATTTGAAAAAAAACAATTAATTTAGAAGCATAAAGCATTTCTTAAAAACTTTAAATCAACTGCACCTATTTATGTTTTTGTAACACTTAAAGATCATAAACCAAATTTTTAAAGCAAACTTTTAGGTCATAGGTTTCTTCAAAAATTTAGATTAAAACAAATCTGACAAAATTAATAATATCCACAGCTCGATAAAATAAAAAAATAATTATACTTTCTTCAAATAAAGTTCTGTTTGCATTTTTAACTGTTTATGAGGAATTTTATGTTAGTTTTTTTTAATTTTAGAAGTTTTTAGTTGCCCAAGCAATCTGTTTGAGTATGGAGACTATTGTTACCTATTTGCTAGTGGAAGTGCAACACAAAATGGATTAAGCTGGCAAATGTCTCTTGTTGTATGTAAGACAATGCAAGGAAATTTGTTAAACGTTGCAGATCAAGCAGAAAATTTATTTATTTTAAACCACCTCAGAAATATTAGCATAAATGACCTGCATTTCTGGATTGGTATATGTTCTTTAATAATTTAAGTTGTCAAAACAAATAAAAAAACTGAATTTTACTTTTTTTTGTAACAATGTTTTAACATTTTTAAAGGTCTCAATAACCTTCAAAGAACCTATGTTTGGTCTGATCATAAAACTTCACTATTTTATAGTTGGAGCCAGGGTCAACCTGATAATTATTCAAGTCTTGAGGTTTGCGTTGATGTAACTTCTAATGGTTGGAGTGATGCTACTTGTGATAACACTTATGGATATATTTGTAAAACAAAACAAGGTAAAATTAAATTTAATTATTACTTAAAAATTACAGCAATAAATGATTTGCAAAATGCGTCATGTGTACTTTTTTTTCTTTTCTTCTTTTTTTCAAAAGATAATAAGTTTTCTATAAAGTTACTTTAAGAAAGTGTGTTTGAACATTTTTTAGGTGTTCTGAATGAACATCGAACTTTCTTAGCAGTTAGCATTGCGTTTTGTTTATCTTTATGATTATTCTATTGGTGAGCAATTTGCTACGTCATGCTAACGGCTCATTCAGAATGATCATTTACCAAAATTAAAGACTTGGCATGTTTCTGAAAGCTTTTATACATGAATTGGGTATACCAATACGCAAAGGGAAGTGAAAACCAATATATTTTTCTTTGTTCATCCAAGCTAATCTTAAATTCTTTGTTCCTCCAGTTCTATCAAACATAAGATATGAAATCTTGTCAATCAAAAGAGCAAGGGGAAAAGAGTGTACACTAATTTCTATTTCCATCTTTATTTTATCTTTAATGTATATTTTTGGTTTGTTTTTAGTTATATACCAGGTTGAAACTGCCATTTTTTAGGTTAGAACAACTTTTGCATTATTTGCTCTCTCCATAAATGACACATTATTATCTACAAGGGCACGAGGAATCATTGTTGAATCTAAGTGCCAACTATGTTTGTATACAGACTTTATAACTGTACACAGAGCATCAGATTCGGAACAAAGTTTTTAGTAATCTGGTCAATTGCTTTTACATTAAGAAATGGAGTTCTTATAGCATCATTATCCTGTAAATACCATTCGGCATAAAAGCAAACTGTATATTCACTTATTAGCTTATTTTCTGTTTTGAGTGTATTGTTCAGGTTTACAAACTCAAGTGGGTTAGAAAAAAACTGTAGCTTTAGATAGTTTAATGCATTGGACAGGAACCTAGCATGATATACTGTTTTGAGCTTTTTTAGTTTTATAGAAGATGAAGAAAGGTAACTAGCAACAAGCTCTGCAAGCTTCATCCTATCTTTTCTAACAATATCTTGTTTTCTTTTCTCTTTGTAATGCATTCTAGACAAAATTTTAAAGATTCCAGTGCAGCTTTTTCAAGAAAACTTTCCTTTACTACTTACCAATCAAACATTTTTTAATTTTTTAAACATATGTTTATCTAGCCCTGTGAAATGCTCATTTGAGACTGAATTACAAAATGAAACCATTATTCAATCACATATATGCAATGCACTATATGATTTATTTATTGCACGCAGATGCCTGCATGCATTAAGTAAATTATCTTTGTCCTTCTTGTTGGATATTCTGATTAAGAAAGTTTTATTTAATTCAGCGTTACTTGCAGTAGTATCAAAACATTTTCCTCCTACTTTTGATTCAAAATTAGATTCGTTTAGAAGGTCCATTACACCACTAAAGTGGTCTTTACCATAGAATGATAGGTAATCCGAGAAGATGTGTCTCCTTCTTAAATCATAAAAGCTACATTACCGTCAAAAATATCTCTCTGTATTTCAGCAGTGGCTTTTTTAAAAAAGATTAATTTTCAAACCACTCGCCAGAATCATAATCAGAATCGCAAAAGGAATCTTTGCTGGTATCTTTGTTAGTCTTGACAAAAAATTTAACCTTTAACTCTTTAAATCTTTTTTTTACTAGTAGTATTCTCTTTCTGGTATTCTCTGTTGCCTAAAACTGATAAAAGTTCACTACTTATTAGTTTAATGTATTAATTATTTAATATATGAATCAGTAGTAGTGAATGAACATTGTTATTATTTTGTTGAACCTTTTTTATTTTGAATCTTTTTAAGTGCTATGAAAACAGTACGTTAATAAGTTTTGCAATCTAATTTCTTTGGCGTTTAAATGAAACACATACTTTTTTAGGTACTTTTTATATTATAATCCAAGAGTAAAACTTCATTTCCTTCTCTGGTTTTCAAGAAACTCCGAAACCTCAAGTTTGTCTGCATTGCATCTTTTTTTGTCATTTTAGATTGCATTTCTAAGTTCAAGGATGCCAACCCAGAATATTTTATTCAGATAAACTTTAAAATCATGTTGTTTAGCCGAATTTGCAGCTGATCCCCTTTTTTTATGTTTTTAAGGCTTAAACAGTGAATATCCAGATTTTGAAGATTCCTCACTATACTTTGATCATGTAATATAAAAAATCCAGCTTTAATCAGTCACAGAGCATCGCTGAAGTGCCTTAGTAGGAAGTTTATGTCTCCTTCCTAAACATGTCGCAAAACTTGCCTAGAGGTGGGTTAAAACAAATAAATTTGATTTCGCATTACTATAGTCTGGTCTTGTTAAATTCCCAGGGTCTAGTATTAGTAAACTGATTAAAATATGTGGAAAAAAAAAGAACTAAAACATGTAAAAATATTTTCTGCAACTAAAAATATTTTCGTTTGATAGAAATTTTATTTTATTTTCGTTTGAAAAAAAAAATCATTTAGTTTATTTAAAATATACCCATAAAAATATATTTTATATATTTTTTATAGTAATATAGAAATATTTAGTGCTGTAACAATTATTACTATTATTGTTTTATGTATAATAAAGTATTTAAAAATTTAATAAATTGTGAAACACGATACAAGCGTGTTACAGACAGTCTACACAAGCAATGGTAACAATAAAAAAAAAACCAATAATAGCATTATAAAAACTAGCCATTAGTTAAGAAAATATTTTTATTTATGTGATGTTGAGTCTTTAAGAGGTTCTGGAGGTGAGTTGAGTTGTCAATTGTGCTTCACTTTTTGGTGAAACAAAACTTGCCTTTTATATATTTCTTAGAAATCCATGTTTGACAAAGCAAATCTTGCATTTTGAATATTCGCACAGAAAACATTAAATTTTTTGACTTGCTGAAGCTTCGATCACAGCATTACGACAAGTTTTACACTCGACTTGGTTTGCTGCTGCATGTTGTTGGTGGAGTCACTGCTATTGATCGATTTATCTGATTATCTGTTCATAATGAAAGTCATGCTTATGTTGTTTCCTAGCTTGCTTTGCTGCTTTTTTACTGTCAGTATTTTTCAATCTTTTGAGTATTTCATATTTGTTGAGAGTCTCCCTTTCGCATCTTGGCAGATCTTCTTCGTCTTTTACGTTTCATAGTTTTGGATGCAAAACATTTGCTGCAAAGCTATGGCATCTAATTAGGTGGATTGCAATTGTTTTATAGTTATATTATAGATTAGTTTCAGACAAATTGACTGTGGAGTTGATTTGGTGCTGGGGTAATACAATGTAAGGAGTAGATTCAGAAGGCATTTGCTGAGATGGTGCAACTATTGGTACTGGTAGTGGTGGTGTAGACACAGACTTTTGTGGTTGAGAAGACAAAAGCTTATGTTGAAATGAAAGTATTTCAAACGTATTAACAATTTGTAATTTAGATTGATTGGTTGTCTTGATGTTGAACACAAACATACTAGTATTTTGAAATCCAGTGATTATTTGAGCGCGTGAAAAACTTTACCAAAGCTAAAATATTTTTCTTGCAAGTTACTAAAATATTCTTTTGACAAATTGCTGAATTTTTCTCTGCATAAAATCTTTAAGTAACTTGCACCAAATTAATTTGACGTGACAATAAACATCTATATAGTCTGCAAACTATGTATTGGTTTCCTTAATCACCAGAAAAGTTAGTTTTATTAAAATTCCACAAATGACATGAAGTATTTTTGTTATTACCTGCTTCGTTGAAATCTTTTTGCAGTGTGTTGAAATACTTTACCATTATTTCTTTTGTGCAAGAAGCGGCTATTAGTGATTGTGAACTTATGACTCCACAGGTTGATGAAAAACTTGTATCTTTCCTTGGTGTACTGTTGGAAAACCAATGAGATTTTTCTTGGTGTTGCAAATAGTTTGTAACGAAAGTGTTAATGCGATTATAAGTTCAAACGAAGCTTCAATCGGATAATTTGATGATTGCATCTACCAGAACTGGTTTGAAATATTGAGACAATCTTGTATTTGAACCACAGCCAACTGTTTTACCTATACCTTTGACATGCCTATAAAATGTTGCTACTGGTATATGGAATGATTTAGCAGCATTGTTGAGTGAAATTTTGCTATTATTTATTTTTGCCACTGCAAGCATGACTTGGTCTTTGGTGTACTTTTTTTTTTTTAATTTTTCGGTTAAAGTTTTTATGAGACATATTTTATATTAGATTAGATTTGATAATATTCAATTTAAAAGTTAAAAGAAGAATTTATAAAGACTCATTAGTCAGTTTAGGCATAATTAATAAAAGCCCTATTTACGAAGGGATCATTTGGTGAATTTCATTTTCCCCAAATTAGTTCACCATTTTCAGTTTCAACTCATATTTTTTTTATCGGAATTATCGAATTTTAAAGTTCAACGTCAGCAGAAAAAATAAATGTTACAGAAGAAAAATTTGATCATTTACAAAAAAAAACTAGTAAATTTTTATCAGAAAATTATATCATCTTGTTCAGAAAAAGATTCTCCGCAACATGATTAAAAAAACTTGCAACATGTTTATTCAATAAATAATTAAGACTAAAATAGTAAACATTGTCATAGCTATTTTATTCTATTCTTTATTGCTTTCTCCCTGCTTTTTCTTTTTTCTCGAACATTAACTTCAAAAAGGTTTTAATTTTTTTATGCTATAAAGATTAAATTTAAAAAATTAAAAAAATTATAAAGTGACATCTTTTTTTGACAAACCCTACTCTCCTGAGTTGCAATTCAATCCTAAGGAAGTTTTTTCACATTTTTTTTATGTCAAAGTAGTTAATTTGTTAAATTACATTTTAGCTGTATTTTCCCGGTAAATTCTTTGAATTGTTTATAGCATTGGACCCAGGTTAAATTATTTTCCTAATAAAGAAAATATTTTGTAAATACTACGCACCCCCTATGAGATCTTCTTGATTAGGTAAATGTTTCTTAACTAACCCCACCCTATATTTGATCAATATAATGTAGATGTAAAAAACAAAACGATATTATTTGTTTTTTAAAATATTTATTTATTCAACCTCCAACTTTTTTGATTGTTTATAATGCCAAAGGGTTGAAATACTAAATTTAAGAACATTTATTAAAGAACAATAAAAAAAATTAAAAATCTAATTTTTGCAAGATGATACTTTCATATTACATTTAATAAATTTTAAACCAAAGTAAAAAACTCAAAGTTTTCTTTTTATGTTCTAATTCAAATAAATCTTTGTAAGTTTTTAAAAAGTTTTTCAGAAAGATTTTAAAATTGCATTATTAGTATTAAAAAAGGAGTTTTCCTTTTTTTTTTTATTTGCTTCTCAAGGTATTCTTTCATCTTTATCGAGAAAATTATTTTTTCATATCTATGTGTTGTTGTTTTGAATTAAAAATATCATTTCAACTTCTTCAACTTAATCTACAACATTTTTACTACTAATTACAAAACATGTCACACGCATCTTGTATGTTAAATGTTTAAATTAACTTCTAAAAAATTTAGACAATTAGGTACGTTACTGGAGTTGTTGGATACTATTCTAATTATTTTATCATCCATATTAAATTTTTCCAAAATTTTTAGCAAAGCTTCTATTAAATAATCTACATCATAGCGTCCATTAACGCAAATCTCAAACAAAAGCTGATGATATTGGTTATGTCAGAAATGAACTGTGCAGCTGCTGATATGTAACCGTATTTTTAAGAGGACCAGCAGTAATAGATAAAAATTTAATTGACAATAATTTCAACTTCTAAAGTTCAACTTTTTCTTAATACAAAAGGAGATCTCAACTTTTTGTCCAGGCACCTGGTACTTTGGATTTGAACAAAAAACAAACTTCTTAACAGCATTACTTTCTACCAACAAAAATGGAAAACAACAGGCAGTAATGAATATTAAAAGACTTCTTTTCTTTGACGAGCCACTCGTGATTTGCTTCATTTTTGGCGTTATTATTTTGTAATCATGTTTAAGATTGTAGTCTCGTATACTTTTTGATGTTTTACTTGAGTAACTTTTGGATCTGTTACTATTAAATTCGTTGCAAATGATAACAAAAAATGTCGCAAAAATTTAAAATATCAAAAAACTACTTTTTTTGTTCAGTTTTCAGTGTCAAACATTTAAAAAGAAACTTTGCGGAAATATTTCTAAAAATCTCCAAAAACTGAAAATAGTAAATTGTAAATATTATTAGAATTAGATAAGCTACAAAGGTTTTTTTTTATTTATTTAAAAACCATTTTTTAAATAAAATATCTTAAGGAATGCAATAAATAAAAAAAAAACTTATGTTTGCCAGTTTGTTAGAAAAATTACCTCTACCGCATAAAGGCGAGTTTCCACTCATCCGTTTTTTCTCGGGAACCGGAAAAGAACGAGGAAAATAATGATGTGGGCATGCTTAGTATAAATTTTAATATTTCTGAAGGAAAACTACACATGCTCGCGTGGTTATTTTTCCTTTTCCTATCCTGTTCCCGTGAAAAAACGGATAAGTAGAAACTCACCTTAATATTATGACTGTTTTGCAAAAATAATTTATACAAATCTGGTTATATGTTTAGTTGTAAAATGGTTAAATTACCAAATTTTTATTAATTTGTCTTTACAAATTGCTGTAAGTTATTTACATGTAGAAGGCTGTCCATTAATTACGTCGACTAATATTGTTTAATTTTACCTTCCCAAAGTGCGCGAAACAGGCATATTATTATGCAAAAATAGTTTATATAAATCTGGTTATTTTTTATAAAAGACTATGTATTAAAAAATTTATTCAATAAAAAATTTTTAGTATTTCTACAATAAAACGTCGTTTACGTCACACTTATTAATTTGGAAAACACCCAGCTAAAAAAATATTAGTTTCCTGAAAAAATCGTAACGCCCAAAAGAAATTAATTTTTTAATATGGAATTTTTAATTCAGCCTGTGGTGGTACCTGTAATGGTTAATTCACAGCATGTGTTGATAATGTATGTCTATGTTATAGTAACTACACCTTGATAAATGGAGTTTGCACAGGTTAGTAGAGTTTTTTTTGTTGATTTATAACTTCAGTTTTGTTTTCTTTTGGCTTTTATTCTTTATTTCTATAGGAGACACTGACTTAATTCCTTCATCACTTCTGTATCTAAACAATAAAACCACTTTAATGTTTAGACGTTAAAATATCGATAAAATACATACTAAATGCTACATTCAACTAATGTAATTAATACCTTTATTAGATCTCTCTTGATTAACTAAAGAGTTTAAATTTTAAATAAATTCTAACTAAATTTTAACAAACAAACAACCGAAATAAACCTTCACTTTAATAGTTCGTTATTAAGTTAATTAATAGATCAAACAATTTAATCTACTCTAATAATCTACTACCTTATTAATAAACTTTAATTTTTTTTCTACGACTCAGTGAGCCTATTTCTTTCATTTTGGCGACGATTAACATTATCTCGATCGAGCCTATTTCTTTCATTTTGGTGACGATTAACATTATCTCGATCGAGCCTATTTCTTTCATTTTGGCGACGAATAACATTGTCTTGATCGAGCTATTTCTTTCGTTTTGGCGATGACTAACGTTTTCTCGATTAAGCCTGTTTCTTTCATTTTGTAAATGATTAATTTCATCTCGCCTAAGTCTTTTTCTTTCGTTTTGTCCACAACTATTTTTAACACGTCTTATAGCACTTACATCATTTTGTAAATACATAACTTCATCTAGCCTATCATTCATTTCAATGTCATCAATTGATTAAACATATTTATCAAAGCAACACAAATTATTCCTTTTTTTTACTACTCTAAAGTTAACAATAAAATAAAAAAACTTAATAAATAACTAAAAAAATTTATCTCAAAAAATTAAAAAAAAAAATTCTCAAAACAAATATATAAAGAATCCAAACTAATGCAAAACAAAATTAATTTGCCATCATCAAAAGTAATACAGGTTACTTAGGTTTATTTGATAAAAGTTAATAAAAACCTGCAACCATATTAGCAAAAACTTAATACAAAAAGTTAAAACTTATTCTAATTCTAATAAAGAAAAAAAATTTAGAAACAAACAACATATCTTCGCAGACAGCGTCATAAGGCATGCGTTGGGAGAAAACATTGAACAAAACGTATAGTAAAACTTATTAACGCGTTATGTACTATAGAAAACGGGTTATTAACGCAGGTTTATAAATTTTTTTCCCCCAACACACTATTACGCTGCCGCAACTCCAAGGATATACATAGTTATATATATATATATATATATATATATATATATATATATATATATATATATATATATATATATATATATATATATATATATATATATATATATATATATATATATATATATATATATATATTTTCGGTTCAACAACTTCATTATGATTAATAACAAATCTGTAAATATAAATTTTCTATTGATCTAAATCTTTATAAATTAGATATTTTATTTTATATCTTAATGTTAAATTAAATAAATTATATATTTCTTAACTAAAAATTAAATCTTCATAAATTAGATATAAATAGAAAAACAAACATATAATATAAACACAATTATATTTTAAACCAAAGTTCAATCGTCCAAGGCAAATTATTAAACTTTTTGAAAAGAAAAAATAAAAATTTTTTTCAAAGAGCCAAAGTATTAACAATACTATAGATAAATTTCATTTATAACAAAATGTTGTCATGGCTTTTATCCCAATTATTAAAAGCATTTTAAAGCATGAAACTACCCATAAATATCTTTTAATGGTAGACACCATCTAAGAATTATAGTGATCTATATTTTCAAAATTCACATGTATAACACGAAGCTTTAAATTTAAAAGTACAATTTAAAAAAGACTACAGTAAACTAATTACTTATATAATTTTAAAAAGATTTTATAAATACTCAATGTCTACTTAGACATTTTGAAAAGATTACGATTTTGAAAACTTGAAACTTAAAATTTAAATTAAAAAAAAACTGAAACTTTAATTCTACCTCAAAGAAAACAGATATAAATTGAAAAGTATTTTTATTTCTTTTTAAAAATTTAAAAATGTTTTTAAACTTACTCCCACCAATATAATTATATAATATATATAGTATATATGATAAATTAACCTCCACAATTTCCTTGGTTTAACAACTCGATTATGAATAATAACAACTCTGTAAACATGAATTTTCTAATAACCTAAATAAATTACAGATAAACCAAAATTCATTCATGCAAAACAAATTATTTTATATTTATTAAAGAGCCAGAAACATATTTTTTTCAAAGAGCAAAAGTATTAACACTATTAAAGATAAATTTTATTTCTATCAAAATTTTCAATAAAAATTAAATTAAGATAAATTTATAACAAAATGTTGTCATGGCTTTTAACCCAATAACCAAAACTATGTGAAAGCACAAAACTACCCATAAATATATTTTAACGCTAGACACAATCTAAGAATTAAAGTAATCTTTAACACGAAGCTTTAAATTTAAAATTACATTTTAAAAAAGATTACAATAAATTAATTACTTTTAAATTTAAAAAAACTTTTAGATTACCTATAATTTTAAGCTACTAAACATTATCAATTAATGTCAACTTGGACATTTTGAACTTGTACCATGAAAGGTTAAAAGGAAATCTTTAAGAAAGCACGCGGTAAAGAAAAGTCTAGAAACTATTTAAAAAGTGTATTTTACAGATACAGAACCATACCGTAACTATAAAACAATACGCGTAACTATGCGCGCTATTAATAATAACTAGCAAAAAGCAACCCGTAATACGGGTTTTGGTCGGTCTGTTACATAATTAATATATAGTGTCTGTTTTCCACAATTTAATGTTGCAAAACCTTAACTAATACCCTTTTAGAAAATCGCCTTCAGCTTGAAAAAATTAACATAAAAAGTATGAGGAGGTAAAATAATTTACTAACTACTACTTAATATTTACAATTACTACTTAACATTATTTGAGTAATTTAAAAAAGGCATAGGCCGTAACAGTGTAAGGCAGAACCATTTTCATCGACCTTCCTAAGTTTAACACAATACGTTTTTAGTTACTAACACAAAATATTAACACTTCGTCATGCTTTAAATTGACGAAAGTATCAACGGAATCCTTGTAATAATTTTTATAACACAAATCATTGAGATTAAAATAAAGTTAAAAAGAATAAATTATATTATACAGGATTAATTTCGCGTTACGTAATATATAGACTATCCCTAAAAGAAAATATTTGAAACTAAAAAGATTTTATTTATTACAATAACTAATAACAACCAAGGGACAATTTAAAGAATTATATCTTTAAATAGCAAATTATCAATCGCAGTATTAAAAAATACGCAAGAGCTCAGTAATTACATGAGTTTAATCTATTCTCTCTTTATACTAATTCTTATTTAAGTCTTATCTAAGAGAGAGAGAGGAAATGTTTTAAAAACAGCGCGTTAGAAAAAGTAAAAAAGTCAATAAATAACAGTAACTGGTTTTATTATGCTACCAATAAACAAAATTATTTTTACCTTAACTAAAAGTTAATTTCCAGCATTTCTTAATTAAGTTCCAGCTTCTCTTTAACTGTTGACAAATGAATAATAATGTAAATTTCACATCATATTAAATTTACAAAATTAAAACCATGTTTCAACAGTAAGCAAAATAATCAAGAGATGACAAAGGCAACTAAAAAAAAAATAAACACAATTATGTTTAAGATTTTAAATAAAAAAAAAAAATCATTAAAAATTGAAACTGTTATTACTTGTTATAATAAATAGTAAAATTCATACTTTAAAATTAAAATAATAAAAATAGTAAAATTTATACTTTAAAATTCATATTTTAAAGAGTCTAATGTAAAATCAAATAATAGACATCAACACCGCTTGACACTGAATTCTGGCAAAAATGTTTTCTATTCACCAAGCAAAATTTCTTATATTTCAACGACAATTAATTTTATCAAGCCTAGATCTATTTCTTTCATATGACAACAATTTCAAGTCGCCTATAACCAATAACACTAATAACTTCATCGAGCCTAATATTATACATCTGTTATCATTAAATATATTAACAGTGATTATACTACTGTTACAACTGAATAAATAAAAGTTTTATATTTTTACAACTGAAAAATATAAAACAAAATTTTTGACATTATTTTAATTTAGCAAAGAATTTAGACTACAATGCAAAGTTATTTTTACCTTCAGGCACAATCTTTATGCACAAAAATAATAAATGCAGAATCTTATATAAAAATGAAGCAATGTTAGTCTAAAGTAATATATATATATATAATTATATATATATATATATATATATATATATATATATATATATATATATATACATATATATATATATATATATATATATATATATATATATATATATATATATGTATATATATTCAAATTTTTTCTATTCTTTTTAATTTTTTCTATGAGATAATATTTATATAGATTCAGAGAAATATAAAACATTCTGATATATAGGCACATTTATGTATATAAACTTACCTGTCAAAAATTACAGTCAGTTTTTATTGTTAAATACATAAAATATATATCTAATATAAAATAAAACAAAACATTAAACTTACTTACTAAAGCAGTAACATCGCTTGACTGGTAAGATTGATAAATCTTACTCTACACGTTTGCCAAGTAACTCTACTTTGAAATCATGAACAACATTATATAAACATATATACTTATTATAAAACACAATATATTTTTTTAATGTTACTTAGCATACAAAAACACCCCATTTAACAATCTTGCACAAATTAGATATAATACATTTCATACTATTATAAAAACACATTTATAAAACAACTATATAACATATATTACCACATACACGTATTTATTAAAAAATTTTAAACTTTGAGCATAATATACATGCAAACTTATATGCAATCTTTTAACAACTATAAAACAACATTTATTAGCATCAATTATTTTTAATGTAACAAAGA